TGGCGTGTTTCCTCCCTGTTATTGACAAAAACACACAAGCACGTACAGACGTAGCCACACACACACATACTGTACATGCTGTACTGAACCATGGCTGACTTACACAGTCTTCAAACTCACAGTTGGTGGCCTCAGTCACGGGCCTTCTCCAGTTTAAATTTCACAGAATAATAAATGACACCTTTGAAAATTATGTTACATCCAGACCTCTGAAATACCATGTGTTGGCAGTAGGCAGCAGAGGAGCAGAGTGGGAGAGGGAGCATGCATTTTTAACCTGGCCCACCCATGTCTTCTTTCTTTTTATATACAAGTATTCAAATGTATTGCAGCTTTCTATTAATAGAAAGCTAGCCCACATTGATTGAATGCTTATTATTGTAATTTAAATGAATGTGACTTTTGCTCTCCCCCTCCTGCAGAGGCTCACAGTAAATCACAGCCACATCTCTCTCTCTCTGTTCCTCCTCTGCCACACACAGACCCATTTTACATGAAAGTCAAGATGGCTTGTTAGCTTAAAGGTCCAGTGTGTAGGATTTAGGGAGATATATTGGCAGCAATTGTATACAATATAATAAGTATGTTTTCTTTAGTGTATAATCATCTGAAAATAAGAGGTGCTGTCTTTCCCTTACCTTAGGGTGCTTTCACACCTACTCTGTTTGGTTCGGTTCAATCAAACTCAAGTTTGTTTGCCCCCCTAAATGCAGTTCGTTTGGGCAGGTGTGAACACAACAATCGTACTTGGGTGCACAGCAAAACAACTGGACTGAGACCTTCTTGAAGAGGTTCATAAAATGAACAATGACAGCAATATAGTCCACGATGACCAGCGCTAAAATCAACCTGCGTAGTTGTCCCTCCATTGTGACATTAGAAAGTGTCGCATTTATCTTGCAAGTGTACTCTTCTTCAACGTTTTGTTTACTTCCTGGATTTTCCCCACATGGAAATTCTGACCACCTCTGAACACGAACCAGCAGCTTTGTAATAAAAGTAGTCCCTGATTTAGACCAAAGGAGGCAACTCTAGGTCTGAAAGCACCCTTAGAATGAGCTGTTTATATCCATATAGGTAGCGGGTCCTTGTCTGTGGAGATGTTGCTTCACCATGTTTCTACAGTGGCCAAGAGTGGACAAACCAAACACTGGCTCTAGACAGGGTTATTTATGTTTTCGCATCAGCAACCGCAGTAAGACTGATTTCCTTTTTTAATATGAAACTGCTTTATTCAGTGTTTTCAGCGGTTTAAATCAGTGCAGATAATTTGGCTCCTCTTCTTGAATGTCTGGATCTTAAGTTATCAGAGGAAAAATGTGAGCACACATTAGCAGGCGCTGGGCCAGCAGGCCATCTGCAACGAGCCAAACAGCATGGGAGTAGCACTAATTAAAAACATTATCCTGCTTTATTAAGTGAATTTACCAGTTTTAATCGCCTGGTCTGTTTGTTCTGAAGAGGAGGAGACCTCTGCAGATAATTCAGCTCCTCGTAAAAACCTCCTGAACAATGAACACTGAAGGAATTCTAACTGGTAGAAGGTTTAACTGGTTGCAATCTGCAATTTTCACCACTAGATGCCACTAAATCCCCCTAAATCTCACATACTGGACCTTTAATTCTTCTCAACATATTTAGGAATATCTTTTTCATGCAATACAGCACCTTCATTGTAGGCTGACCAAATGGCCTCTTTTGCCCGGACATGTCCACTTTTCACATCCCGTCCGGGGCGTCCGGGCGGGTTTTATAAACTGATGATAACGTCCGGTTTTCCGTGTGTTTGTGTGTTTGTGTGTGTGTGTGTGTGTTAGAGTGCGGCACGGGCCGCATATTTCTGTCCGAACCCGAACCGAGCCCGACATTATTTAATGACTAAAGCACTGAGTTTGTGTCACACAGTTGTTACGGTTACAGGCTATTTAACAGGCCGGGCGTGCTCAGCAGAGAGGGAGACCTCCGTGTTTGAGACGGGAGCGGAAGGCGGGAGCGGAAGGCGGGAGGTCCGACGCTTCTAGCGAGAGGAGAGGGAGAAATAAAACAAAATAAGATAAAATAGGAAAAACCTGTCTCCCTCTTTTATTTTATTCTCAGCGTTTAATCAAGGCGGAGGCGGGTGGCTGGAGGTCCAAGACTTCCAGCGAGGGGAGAGGTAGAAACAAACAGCCAGTGTGTGTCTGTGTGTGTTATGTTCAGGTGTTGTCACGTAAATAACAGTGCCCAAGCAATAAACAGGACAGACAATAGGATTTTATTTATTTTTACACTACATTTTCACTGAAAGCTGACCGAATCCGACCCGAGCCCGAATACAATTTATAGCTACATTTTGACCAAACCCGGCCGACCTGTCGGGTACCGTCGGGCTCGGATCGCCACACTCTAGTGTGTGTGTGTGTCCCCTATTGGGGCCTATCTGAATTTCTGTCTTTGAGAGATATTATTTTGTAATATAACTGAATTTTCTATCCATACATATAAATTTTAAATATATTAAAATTATAAGGCATCTTTGAGTAAACTGCGAGTATGATTTAAGTAGGCTATGTAGCGGCCAGCCGAGTGTCCTCTTTTTTGGAAATCAAAATATGGTCACCCTACTTCAATGGCAGTTTTATATTCTTGATCTATACGCGAACACACTCACACCCAGGACAGTAGTTAGTGTATCTCTCTAATAAAGGCGTTATGAACAGATGATGGTGTGTCTCTTTTATGTGCTGACAGCGTCAGAAGCAGGAGCTGTGGGGTGCGAGTGTGTCTGCGGTGTTGTTTGGATGATGGAGTGGACACATTTTATGACAAATTGGAAAGGGAAAATAGAGCAGGCAGTGATGGCTCAGGGATGAGGCAGCCAGTGTAGTCAGTCAACCCTTTTTGGAGAGGGACTGATGGGAACACGCTCACAAAGAGAGGCAGAGAGAAGCTGGAGGTGGCTGCTGGTCTAGCTCCTGAGTTCGTCTTTACTTTTCTCTGCCTTTATGCGCGGCACGTGATGTTGAAAACTTCTGCATGGCACTCAGTCTCCATCATCACGTCACATTAGCACCGTCAGCGTGTATAATACATTCTGATAAATACAGACAGCAAAGGTTAATTGACCAAAATAGTTGACTCAATCACTGTCAGCCACACTAGCTCGCAAGTCTATCTGGCTCCGTGGCCCAAAGTGTTCCTTCAGCATGATGCTACAATTTGGGTTGCCATGGCAACAACCCACACAAGCACACATGCCCACATAGTACACAGGAATTAAAAAAACCTGCACAACTCTCATCTCTGTGAACACCCTCCAGGAAGAAATAAAATAATTTTGTAGTCTTTTTTAACCTGCAGTGCATCAACATATTTCTATATGGAAAGTTAGTAATTACAGATATCAAGCTGCTGACTAGAGTTATTCCACCCACATGGTGGGACCCGGGCTGGCTTCGACTCCCCAGAGTACCCGTGCATGCAAGGTGGTGTTAGTATAAAGCTGGCAGCATCTACAGCACCAAGTATGACATTACTCCACACAGCATATTTGCCGTGGTGCACAGCCCTGCTCTGCTGATTATTTTGCACCAACATCACAGCTTCCTCGTACATCATGACTCAGTTGGGTGGCTGATTGACTGTCAGTTTGATAATAATCAATGACAGAGGACACAGTCAGTTGCCCTTAATCATTTTTCTGAACCCTAAGTAATTAACGACGGTGTCATCAGCAGTTTTGTTGTCATCAAGAGAATAATTTACGTCTGTCAATTAGGGGTCAGGGGGATGCTCCGCTGCTCCTGAGCACTGTCAAATAAATGTCAGCGCTGTGGGAAAATGAACCGCAGTAGCTGTCTGGTAAACATTGTGTTGCTGGAAATAAACTAGATGCATTTTTTTTTTTACCCAACTCCTATAACCCTCTTGCTATATCCAAATCAAATTTGCATGGCAGAGATGGAGGCAGCCTATATGTGCTGTGCAGAGCTTAAGTCACATCCAAATAATTCATAAGGTCCATATGTAATTGCCATAAATGCATATCTGCACATCCACATGTGACATCTGTCCAGTGCCAAAGCCTTTGACCTTCAAACAACTGCGCCCGCACAGTTAAGACACAGTATATGTGCACACAGAGGCTCCGCTTAGTCAATGCGGCAGTATTGATCACTTGTCACTGGAAGGAAGGAACATGGCAAGGAAATCAATTACACATATGCAGTGTATAATCAAATTTCTGGTGAAAAACGCTTGGCTAAGGGGAAATCTTCAACCGACACATAAGCTCCACATTGCTGTATTGAACCCTACGCATGTGGACTGAGAGTGTGAGATGGAGAGAGAGGAGTGAACACTCCAGCAGTGCAGGTAACGATCTGAGGTATAATAAGGGATACATAATTTAATATCTCTATTTATTCATTTAAGACCAGGGAGCGGGAGATCATTATATATTGATAGCTTATAGATAAGATGGGTTTGATTACTTGGAGGCAATAAGGTGCATCTGGAGGAGTTTATCACTGCCCACTGCTCTCTCAAGTGGTCAAGACTAAAAGGGTTCGGCTGTCTTCTTGGATCAGGTTACTCACTGAAATGGTTGCTTAGTTGTCACCTTTCAGGTTTTAGCTGTTTTATTTGTGATGTTTGGCAACAGTGCTGGAGTGTGAGAGTGAGTGGGTGGAGGAAGCAGTTTGTTTTGTTCTTATGAGAAGCAAAATTGGAGTAAATATAATAATTTTCTATCAGTTGTGCAGCATTTCATGGTCATTTCACTAAAAGTGGCCTGTGGCAAAGTGTGCACCTCATATCATTTCTACAGCAGCCTTTATAGAGATGTGTGTGTGTGTGTGCTTGTGTGTGTGTGAGGGTGTGTGTTTGTACTACAGCCTAATGTTATGATATCTCATAATCAACTCTCTTTGCGTCCACACTTCAGCGTCCTCCCACAGCCACAGTTCCAAGTCACACACCTCGAAACGCAACGAGCTGCTTTGCTTTAATATAAGCTGCATATTACAGGTTTCCACCTCAAGGATGTGGCGCAGCCCGCGTGCACCCCTCTGCTCCTCCTTGTGTAGTATACAGCGGGACACTCCGCAGTTCGCTTATCCCGTTCCTTCCCGTTGCCTTTTACGCGCACGACGTCTGCAGCACACAGTGATTCACAGAGCCAGCCTCAGTCTCTACGAGCTTTTGGATGAAGGCAGGACTCTTTCCACAGTGTTCCGATGGCGAACCAGCGCCGGTTCTGTTGCACTGATCGCTTCTAGAGGAAGGCATACACGCTTTTTACCTTTCTTCTCCTCTTCTTCGACTCAATTTACACAAAATGTGGGACGCGCGTTCTCTGCGCGGAGTCCGCGGAGTGCTCTCCTCAGTCGTGGCCGCTTGACTAAAGGGGGATCCCGGCTCCCTTTTCATCTTCTACTCCCTTAGGAACAAGAGGAGTTTGCATGCAAAAGGTGGTTTATCCCGGCAAGGTGAGGCACAGATTATTGTTCTGACATTTTTTCTTTTAATTTGGATACTTTAAGTCGAAATCTAAAAATCCGTGCGTTGCAAGTGCGGATTGTTTGGACTGATTTACATAGCAGGTGTTGCATTATAAAAACCTCACTGAACACACAACAGCGTAACAGGTCTGCAATGCTTTCTGAATTTATAGGACTGCAGAACAAGTCAGGACATATGGATTCATAATGTGGTGCCGTTTTACACCCCTCCCCACACACATCTACTCATTCTCATTATTTGCATAGTAAAATTGGCTGTTTTGTAGCCAGTGTTTGGTCCAGATTGTCAGCCTGTGTCAATGTAACCAAAAACTGTTGCATTCAAGAACATCAAGAATACCCTGTTCCAAATTCAAAAAGGCAACCTTTCTCCATAAATGATTAAAGACTCTGATATTTGCAACTTTTTATATATAATTTTGAGGATTTTTCCAAGTGTGAAGGGCATTTTAATCATTCTGTTAAATTATAACTCCACACACTGCCTTTTCTCATGTGTAAGGGGTCATATTTCTCAGAAAATGTGATCATAATGACCCAGAGTAGCAAGGGAAAGGGTATTTGAAAATGACAAGTTAAATGAGACCCCAGAAATTGCTGTCACACACACCTCCTCCATTCAAATACCGAGAAGACATGAATGAATATGAAGGTTTCTTTCAGTTCATTTGCTTCCTGACCTACCACCGAGTCCCCCTTTTTTTGACTGATGAGGCTGCATAGTGCTCCAGCAGGAGTTCACTGCCTCACTACAGCCACAACAGAGCTGGAGCGGAGTGAAAAGCAAAGCAGCCATATTGACTGTTAAAACAAAATCATTGATTCTGCCTAACACCTTCTTAGAAATGTGATGGAAGGGATCAATAGTACGGTGCAGCTGTTACTATTTTTGACTGGCAATTCAAAGTAACAGGTGACTGTCTTAGTGCTTAAAAAGAACCGATTTATTTATTTATTCAGCTATTTATTTATTTATTGGCCTTTGCAATGTGCTTAACACAGCAGAAAAGAAAAGAACATTTTGTGATACATCCAATTTTCGATACTGGTGGTAATTAACTTGTGTGTCATCGGTCACTGAGTCATCTCACAAACTGTTTCTTTTGTTTTCTCAGCCATGGAGGGACTTGCCTAAAGAAGATCCAACATAATTAAAACATTTTCGACTTTATTTTTCTATTTACCCCTTTTTTTTTTGTGTCATCGTAACATCTTCCCCAAAAAGTCTCTACTTCCACCATGGCTGAGAAGCTTGGACCAGCAGGGCTCAAGCCCACCAACATCCGAACCGCTCCCTCCCTGCCCCCCGAGCCCATCGACATCATCCGCACCAAAGCCCGCTCCCGTAGAGTCCGCCTTAACGTCGGGGGCCTGAATCACGAAGTCCTGTGGCGGACCCTGGACAGGCTACCCAGAACCCGACTGGGCAAGCTTCGAGACTGCAACACCCACGAGTCCCTGATGGAAGTCTGCGATGACTACAGCCTGAACGAAAACGAGTACTTCTTCGACCGGCACCCGGGGGCCTTCACCTCCATTCTGAACTTTTACCGCACAGGCAAATTACACATGATGGAGGAGATGTGCGCCCTTTCGTTCGGCCAGGAGTTAGACTACTGGGGGATTGACGAAATCTACCTGGAGTCTTGCTGCCAGGCCCGCTACCACCAGAAAAAGGAGCAGATGAATGAGGAGCTGCGGAGGGAGGCAGAGACAATGAGGGAGAGGGAGGGAGAGGGAGAGTTTGATAACACCTGCTGCCCAGACAAGAGAAAGAAGCTGTGGGATCTCCTGGAGAAGCCCAGCTCCTCGGTGGCTGCCAAGGTAGGGAACCGAATCTGGAAGTGTGATCACACCGCCCCCATCTCACATATCCCGATCGCATTCAAAGCCCAACACTCTGCCTGGATCATAACACATTACAAGCGCACTTATTAAAGGCCTACTCCCACCTGTAAAAAAAATAACCACAAGTTCATCAATTTGAATCTTAAACAGGCATGCACTGTACTCTCGTCAGGTGCTTTCTTGTGCCATCTGTCTGCCTTCCATCTTCGTAAGTAGCAACAGTTGTTAGGGGATGGATTAAATACAGAGAAAGCTGCAGACTTTGGGAAACAATATGTGTGTGGATGTAATGGGAGAACAGAAGCAGACGATGAGGAGTGGAAGTAGATGTGTGATGTGCATGCAAATATAATGGAAAGTAGAATTTATAGTTCTGTATAAATTAGTGGTGGAATCACTGCAGGAGCTGGATTTAGACTCCATTTGCTTTGACAAAATAATTGGTGGGTGCGTCAGCTGCTGGTGTTGCTTTCTTTGCAGGGATAAAGTGTGTCAGTGTAGACTAGATCTGTCAGGGACTTGTGACACAGTGAAGTCTATTTTCTCGCGTCAGTCTTACTCACTGATTGGATGAGTCAGAGAGACGACGTGGATGATGTCAAAAGTTTGTTGCAGGTGTATCGATGAAAACTGTTGATTCTCGAGCCCTTTACTATATTTACCTTGGGCGCTTTTATACGATTTGACGAGGTAGTGACGAGTGCTTCTCCCTTCCCACGTACCACATGTTTGGAAAACTGCTGCATTGGTCACGTGCAGTTTTCATGCAAGGATGATAAATCTCACAGAAATCAAATGACTGTGTAGCAATGTCCAGGCTGTCTTTGGTAACATGATGACATCTCTTTTTAACTCCTCCTCCACCTCGTCCCATCCCGCTCTGACTCGCTCCTCAATTAGGTAGGTCAACCTTGACGAAATCCAATCACTGGTAATTTACCTTTGGTCTCCAGTATCCTGATCTTATCATCGTGGCAGTGCAGGGCAGGGCTGGCCTGGGATTATATTCCATGTCAGAGGATCATAAACACAGGATCCTCCTCTGTGTGTGTGTGTGTGTGTGTGTGTGTGTGTGTGTGTGTGATCAAACTAACATCATCCCCTCACACAGCTCCTAAAGTGCTGTATATGCTGTGTGGTGCATTGTTGACGCCTCTCCTCTCCTCTCCTCTTGAGGCAAAGGACGTTTCCCTTTTGGTTTAGACAGTTTGGATATCCTGCTAGATTCAATTTCAAACCCCTGATGCCTTGTGCTAAATTTATAGTGCAGTAGCCCACTTTAAAAATGGCAAAAATATGGTAATGACACTGACTACATGAGGTTCAGATCCTTTAATAGAGCTGCTGTGTTTACCCTCCCTTCCTGTATTATTCCTGCGTAGCTTGTTTTCCCTGAATCAACTAGTGATTTGTGATTGACAAGGATCCCGCCTCAGCTTAATAATTGTACCCAGCCCCCACGGAGGAGCTGTATATCACAAGAATCAGTTATAAGGAGGCTGCCAATATCCAATTTAAGGCGAACCCAGGTGACAGCAGTTGGGTAATTTGATAGGGTGTGTGATATTTAAAGTGATTTACCTGCTCAATACAGTCCCTCGTTCTATAGACGCATCTCGGTATTGCTGACCTGTTCACCAGCATATGGGGGAAGCCTGCGAAACCTTAAAGGGAAATCCCCCCCCTAATTCAAATTGACATTCTGCTGAGTGCTCTACCAGGAGAACTTGAACGTGACTCTAATGGCTCAGCCTTGCGATCGCACTAAGGTTATCCACAGCTGAAAGAACATTTGGAAATAGACTGTCGAGGCTGCTCCACTGTCAGATGGCAGCTCCCTGAGGTCAGGGAAGCCTTTTATGGGGCACGCACGGTGCAGTGAGAACCCTTGAAAGCCCTTGACCAAGCAAATGCCATTACTAGGCTGGTACACTGCCGTGCGCTTTTATACAAAGCAACCTGAGCCCTTTGTCAAATGCAATCACAGTGTCTTCTGGCATATTCTCTCTCTCTCTCCCTCTCCACCTCTTTCTCTCTCGCTCCCTTTCTCTTACATTGCCTTAATCAGATATAAGAGCCCATTGTGCCGCTCTGTGGCACCTATGGCCCTCTCTGCCCTTAAATAAAGGTTAAGCATGAGAGGAGTGACCTTTTCAGCAGGGTCAATCAAGCTGGGATTACATTCATCAGCAATAACAGCCGTGCATGCTCTGGAAGTACTGGCAAGCCCCTGCAGATTGGAAATGATTGAAACTAATCACACATTTCATCAAGAAAAACTGGTTGGAGGAAGGAGCAGGGAGGTGAGAGTTGAGCGAGGAAAGCCACAAGTGAAGGAGGAGAGGTGACGGAAGAGATAGTGGCAGAGGAAAGCCCTGCAAGAGAGAGAGAGAGAGAAAGAGAGGAGAGAGTGATGTAAGAGATGCAGTCATGTAAGTTACGCCTCAGGATGCTGAGCTGGATCTTTGCAAACCTTTCCCAATGAATAATGAATGAAATGGTCAAAACAAAAAGGACACTGGCTAATGCAGTGGCTTCTCTGTGTTACTGCGTGACTTTTGGTTGAGTGACCTCATAGTGTGAGGAGGAGGAAGAGGAGGAGGAGGGGGGGTGGTTGGATAGTGTCCGCTTCTATCTGGTGCTCAGCTTGTCACAGGTGTCCAGGGGGAAAAGTGAGAAGTTCATGTCACAACAAGATATTGCAAGCTGTGTGTGTACACCTGCAGGAGCTCACACCTGAAAACCTCGGCTGAATTTTCATCATGTCCTGTTTTGGAAACTTTTTTAAAAATAGAATAACAAGAGCAGTCTTTCTTAAAGGGACAGTTCACCCCCCAAATCAAAAATACATATTTTATCTCTTACCTGTGGTGCTTTTTAATAATCTAGATTGTTTTGGTGTGAGTTGCCGAGTGTTGGAGATATCAGCCGTAGAGATGTCTGCCTTCTCTTCAGTATAATGGAACTAGATGGCACTTGGCTTGTGGTGCTCAAAGCACCAAAAAGTACATTTGAATAACTCAACAGCAATGTCTCTTTCCAGAAATCATGACCTGGTTACTCAAGATAATCCACAGACCTTGTTGTGAACAGTTTAATGCAGGAACTATTTTCTTTCTACTGAGCTACAACCATAAAACTGTGCAGAAGGAAGCTTGCATCTACTCATGGAAGGAAGGCTCGTGTCAGCGTGAGATGTAAACATAAACAGTGTTCTTCTTGGCTGATCTGTAATGTCAGCTAGCTCAGTGGTGCTACGTGAGCTAGTAGTAGATGCACACTTCCTTCTGCACAGTTTTACAGTTGTAGCTCAGTAAATATACAGTTGATACAGTTGTTAGGTGTCGTCTGATAGTAAGAAAGTAGTTCTTGTGAGCAGTTTCATGTAGGGACTATTTTCTTTCTACCAAGCTACAACCACCAACTGTATCACTGTGCAGAAGGAAGTGTGCATCTACTCATGGATGAGAGCCTTGTGCTAGTGACTGATGAAAACAATAATGGCGTCCTCCTAGGCTGAGCTGTAATGTTAGCTAGCTCAGTGATGCTAGGTGAGCTAGCTGTAGATGCACACTTCCTTCTGTACACTGATACAGTTGGTGGGCATAGATCAGCAGAAAGAAAATAGTTCCTACATGAAACTTCTCACAACAAGGTCTGTGGATTATCTTGGGTAACCAGGTCATGATTTCTGGAAAGAGACATTACTGTTGAGTTTTTCAAATGTATTCTTTTGGTGCTTTGAGCACCACAAGCCCAGTGCCATCTAGTTTCACGATATTAAAGAGAAGACAGACATCTCTATGGCCAAAATCGCCAACAATCAGCAGCTCACACCAAAACAATGTAAATTAGGGCTGGCCCATTTGCAGATATTATATCATTATCAAGATATGACAGAATCTATCATCTTAGATTTGGATGTCGTTGTATCATGATGTGGCATAAGTGGTGTTTTTTCCCTTGTTTTAAAGGCTGCATTACAGTAAAGTGATGTATCAATTTACCAGACTTTCCTATTTGTTTTAATGCTTTATTGATGATTATTGATCAAAAATCTCATTGTGTTAGTTTTCTGAAAAAACAAACAAACAAAACAATAGTCATCCTTTCAGCTTTGTCGCATTAGAGAAGGTATTGGGTCAGAAATACTATGTTTGATTTTGTCTCCTGGTCCTAGCATTGATGACGTGCTTTAATTAATAATTTAAAAATATCCATATATATATATTGTGTATTGAGATATAGCCTAAAAATATTGTGATATAATTTTTAGGATAAATCACCTAGCCCTAATCATGATTATTAAGTAGCACTACAGGTACGAGGAATAATATATATTTTTGAGGGGGTGAACTGTCCCTTTAAGTGCCTCATGTCTGTTGTGTTTGAGTGTCTCCACAGCTTTCAGCCACTGGTAAAATATTGCCATGTGCTATTAAATTATATAAGATGAGAGTGGCTCTCATGTCTTCGAAAAAACCTCAGCTGGATGTTGCTTCTGCTTCCTTACTGTGGGCTATAATTTCTATTAATCCAGTAGAACGTGTCATCCTTGATATTGAGCCAGAAGGATTTGTGCAGCCCTGACCCTCTTTTGTTTACAATGAGTCACGGGTGTAGTTGTACAGCAAATACACTTAGCACAAGCTCATAAAAGGAAGCCATATCCAAATTGCTGGAGTGCTGTAAGGAGACTAAATTACAGTGACTTCTGCTTTTATATTTCACTGTGTAAAATGTATTACCGTTACCTGGCATCACTCCTGCAAAGATCTTGGTGCATGTATGTAAATGTAGTTTGTACCCTGCCTGTGCTTTTTGTCAGCGTGACGGGAAACGTGATTAGATGCATTTCTTTCCGTAGTCAGAGACGCATGACGATATGCAGAACGTGCGTAATAAATATCAGGAACTGACCAACCGTTCGCCACACAATTAGTGATTTAGTAAGAGCTTCAACGTTAACATATGAG